AGGATCATCATCTTTCTCCATGGTGTATTTATACAGATTGTCAAATACTATTTTATGCTTTGAGCTCATCTATTTTAGATTTTTCTGAATTTGGTTATAAACAATTGTAAGAACTTATTATCATCTAGACCTACTGTGGCTATTCAATGGATTAAGAGATAAGATAACATAGTGGCTCATAATCTAGCCCGAACCTCTTATTCTCATACTTGATTCCAAGTGTGGGGACACTATACCACGTTGTTTACTTCACCTTTATGAGTAATGCAAGCTTATTTTATTTGCCTTTCAAAAAAAAAGGATATGCATTAATTTGTTTATGTAAGAGAATTTAAGTTATTACGATAATAATAAACAAAGACTGTTCAAATAATAACTTGTTAACAAAAAAAAATGTATTTATTATTTTATAATAGCATGTTACTTATTAATTATAAGGTAATGAAAAATAATCACTATTTATCTTTACTTAATTACTCTAATTTATCTTCTCTTGCATATTCACTCTATTTCCTTCCATCGTTTTTCTTTATTTTATTATTTTTTTAAAAAAATTTCATTTTTATATGTCCTTTAAATTATTTAAAATTATTATTCCTTCCTTTTTTTAATGTTTCATAAAAATATATTTAAATATTTAATTAACAATAGAAAAGAAATCAGATAGTATAAAAACAATTGCAAAGAAGATATTAAACAAAATCTATTAAAAATAATAGTCCCCCCATTTTTTTTATTTACAGGAAACAGAAAAAGCTCTTGGATTGAGAAAGTTCGTTTATTTAAGTTTTCTTTCTAAAATGCTCTTCATTTCATCATTAATTATGGGAACCACAAAAGGCAGTTCCAAAAAGTGCATTTATTGCCTAGTTATATCATTTGGACATCACCTCCAACCTTTTTTATTAACTATTTCTGACTTTATTAGAACAGTGACGTTTTACATAATATTGACTTTATTAGAATGGGGACATTTTACATAATATGTACATAAAAATAAAAATAAAAATTGGAGCCAAATTAAAGGCCAAATCTTTGAACTTATTCATTGAAGGCCACAAATTTCCAAGATTTTCGACGAAAATAAAGAAGGAAAAACTTAAATTTTGGCTCTAACTTGTTTAAACTTGATAATTTTTCAATTCAAATTCAAAACTAAAAGCAAAATTTGGTTTCTCCAAATTTAAATGAAATTCAGAAAGTTGATAATTTTTCAATTCAAATTCAAAACTAAAAGCAAAATTTGGTTTCTCCAAATTTAAATGAAATTCAGAAAGTAGTACCCAAATGCAATACATTGCAGCCAAAATGAAATAGAATTTGAAGCCAAATTTTTTGAGTTTACAATTAGACTTCTCGATTTCTAAACCTTGGCCATATATAAATAAAATCACAATTAATTATCTGATTCAAGAAAAATCTATTCCACCATATCCAGAAATAGCCATTACTTTGCATCCTCTATATTTGAATCCTATACACTCCTGCACCTATAAAAACAAAACGTGGCTGTTTTCAAAATTTAACTTAGCATAATACATATCAATTCCTGACATCAATAGTTGTGGCCAAATTTACAATGAAAAGTTAGATATATATTCATTAAACATAAAAATAAGAGCTAACTTTGTATTTATATGGCCAATTTTATAAAGACAATCACTTGTACTATAAAACGAAATGAAAAAGTGAGTTGATAATTAAAACACGTATGCATTAAATGCTGAGAATATTTGTGTCTGTCACTTTTCTTAATTGTTGAGCTTGAGACTTAATATATAATTGTTGAGCTGAGACTTAATATATAATATATATATATATATATATAATATATACTATATATATATATATATATATATATATATATATATATATATATATATATATATATATTAAGGGCTTCTCTAGTCTTTTAAACTTGGCTGCATTCCCAATATATATTAAGGGCTTTCTAGTCTTTTAAACTTGGCTTGCATCCCAAAGAAACTATTTAGAGTAACTTTCTCTATATAAAAAATACGCTCAAAAAGAAAATTATAAAACACTAAAAGAGGATGAGGGTGAGAACTATTCACTTTTGCACCCCTTAGGCCACACAGGTTTATGTAGTTATGTTGTGGTATTTTTGTTGAAAGTGCTTTGTGGATAGGTTGGTTAGCACGCTAGGTTTGTAAGTTAGGGGCGTGGGTTCGAGACTGTCATGACCCAAACTATGGACTGGACTGGCACTAGGGCCTAGTAAGCTTAAGACCCCAAGGTCGGTAGTAAATCTGATTTACGAAAACCCATTTCTTTCAAAAACTGACTCTAGAAACAATAAACCCATATTTTGACATTATTCAATTAATCTGTTAAATTATTTCTCTGGCTCAGCTTCAACATTTCAATTAATTCATAGCTCGGGCCTATATTTCATATACCATCCACGTCATCCATAATGTTGGTAAATTAGGCCAATTGTACTTTTAGAGAGTCAATTAGAAAATTCTATAGGTTTATTAAACAACACACTAATAACTTGTACATGATAAATTGCAATACATGACTCCCTGACTACGGAGCTCAATAAGTATATGTGAATACATTTTTATACATAATACTGTATATTCAAATATTATCAAAAATTGGTAATTATTACTATAACTCTAGAGAAGGAACCAGAGCTTATCTAAACCAACATAGTATCTATCTCTTGGAAAAAACTTAAGGCATGAGTTTCATAAACTCAGTGAATAATAACAAATAATGCATAACCCAAACAGTTATGCAATATGCTTTTCAACTTTATATAGTGAGCATTTATTCAATCAAGCACATGATACATCATTAACCACCACAATGATATCACATTCAAACAATCACATCTAATAGAGATTGCTCAGTGGCATCATTACTTTCTCATTTCACAAGAAATCCGTTAATCATGTTTCACGATAAAGGAGCACGTCCCTTTATCGGGGCACGAGGAGTCCATCACCATTACGGACCCGTAAATATAAGCAGAGGAGTCGATTCCCCATACAGCCAACTGGTCTATTCCTCACTTGACCAGTCCTCACATTGTTTTTCCATTCTCTTCTTCCTTTACATTACCATCAGGAGGTCATACTATGGTTTTGTGTCTTAACCCACTTCATTCCAATTCCACACGCAAACAAAGTATACTATTATCACATTATAAATAATCCAAACAATTCATTCAATATAATAAATCATATCGATAATTAATATGCAGCAAATGAATGTGATCATGGGTATATGATTATATACCATTTGTATGGTTGTAACGTTATATTTATATGGTGGATAACGATAATAATAATTATATTTCAATGATATTATATTAATATATGAAGATAAGAGCTGAGCACTGAATATATTTAGATAATATAGGGTGAATGATGCATGTATACATGTAATAGTATGCTCCATTTATTATTACTCACAGTGATAAAAAAAAGAGCAAGTCTTCATTTGGATTTTGACTAGCAAGAGCAGTAGACAAACTCGAATGATATAGATCAAACACAATAAAAAGAAAAGACAGCATTAAACAAATTACTTTCCTTAAATAAGAAATTAAAGAATCAATCTAAATCTTATCGATATTTCTAGCAGCATTCCTCCTAAGATAGGACCTTTCCACTTGTCTAAATATTATCCACTTAAATATACTTATCAATCATTTCTCATATAGCCCATTTATCGTGCAATCAATAATTCCAACATCCAATAATAAATTTGTAATCAACTTTTAATTTATAAATTAAAATAACCTTTAATCTAATTTCAATAAATCCTTATGCATATCTGCTTTTATCTCAATATAATTTACTTTCTTAACTAGTTACCAAACAACTATCTCCAATGCATAACAGTTCTTTATTTAATTATCTTTATTCGAAACATAATATTCTTCGGTGAAATTCGGGACCGGCTATTAAAACTAATATTTCTTTGAGCTTATCATTTTAATTCAAATATTATACTTTTGATTTCCAAAATAATTCAATTACACTTCTACTTCTTCCTCCTCTAATTATTTTAATCAAAACTATTTTAATCCAATAGCAATAATTTTTAAACTTGAAATTATACATTAAATTTAACAAACTAAATCTTAAATTATAACGATTAAAAATCGGATTTCAGATTCAAGCTCAGTGGGCAATTTCTCAAGTTTCTGCGGGGTCTCGCTCGAGACTTAGTGGCCGATCGTCGGACCGCCGCTGGTGCCGCCATCCGCAGTGGCCAAAAAGTCATGATGCTTACAATCGAGCACCCTTCACATCGTTTGGCTCGAATTTCACTAAGGAATCCATTTCTGGTGTTGGTTGAGCGAGATCAACCTTCTAATTGGCCGGAGCGGGCTCAACAGAAGCTTAGAGCCACCATTCATGATGGTTTTACAAATCAGCCACGAACTTCACAATTTTCAGAGGATAATACTCGTAGGGAGGAAAGAAATCAATCGATACCCATCCTCAACACCGGAACTGCCAGAAACGGCGTGAAATCACCGGAGAGATGAAGGAGAGCGTTGAAGGCGGAGTTGTTCGATCAGAGACAAGATCGCAACTCCTCTGCTTACTGCGTTCACCGAAAATGAAAATAGAGATGAAGGAGAAGCGGGGGAGTGGTGGCGGCATGAAGGAAGTCTGCCGGACCTGTCTCAGGTGACTGGAAAACAGAGAGAGAGAGAGAGAGGAGTTGAGCGGCGCTGGAATGAAAAAGAAGAAGAGAAAGAAAAGAAAAGGAGGCAAAAAGATATTTCTAGGGTTCTTTAGGCTGATTTGGTTCAATTCGAATCGATTGAGTCCAAATCAATGATTTAGTTTGATTTTCATTTGATTTAAAAGTTTTCTTCGAATTTAAGGATTTTAAATTAGTTTATGCGTCTAATTTAATAATAATAAAATATTTTATTTATTAAATTGCATTGGTTGAAATTCACAATTAAAATTTTAAATGAAAAATCTTTAAAATTGAATTTTCGGTTATTTCAGGGACTGAGTGCTGGGGTTTTCGGCTGTTTTTTTCTTCGTTTTTGGCTGTGTGCGACGTGTGGAACAGCTGGTTGAATGCATATCAACCAGCTGTTTTCTATTTTATTTTTTTGACTCTTTTTTCTTATTTTTCTCTTTCTTTCTTTTCCTCTCTTTTCTTTTTGTTTTCTTTTCTTCTCTTACCGCCTTCTCTTCTTCTCTTTTCTTTTCTTTTCTTCTTTTTTTCTGCAATTCTTTTCTTTTTCTGCGATTTATGTTCTTCTGTTTCGTTTGATTCCTTTTCTTCTTTGTATTTTATTTTTGTTTTTGTTTTCTTGCTTGTGATTTTTTCCCTTATTGATTTAGGATTTCTTTACTTTTCTCAGTGCTGTCTCTTCTTCTCCCTTTTTTTTTCCCTGCGATTCGTGATTTCTTCCACTGCGTTTGATTTTTTTTTTTTTCTTTTTCTCGATTCTCTTTTCTTTGTTTGCGTTTTGGTTTTGTCTCTTTCGTTGATCGCAATTTTTTGTTTATTTGTTTCTTTCTTTTTTTTATTTTTTTCTTGCGATTCTATGATATTTGGGTAAAGGTAAGGTTTGGTTTTTTATTCATTTATTTCTTTTGGTCTGAAATTGAGGGTTACGTTAATTGTGTTTTGGATTTTTTTTTTTTTTATTTTCTTTGATATTGTAGTGAAGTCGTATGGTGCTGAGGTAGAATGAACGATGGAGGTATAATTTTTTAAAACTTAACCTATGATTTTTTTTTTAAGTGTTTTGGTTGCTGTGAATTTGTGATTAGTTATAGAATTTTTAAATTTGGAGATTTAGGATTTTTTTTGCTGCTATTTATGAATGGGTTGTATTTTTTTGCTTTTATGGAGCTGTGATTAGTTGTAGGATTTTTAAATTTAGAGATTTAGGGTTTCTTTATTGCTGTTTATGAATAGGTTGTGATTTTTTTTTGCTTTTTAATTTAATTTGCTAGATTCCTGAGGTTAATTATTTGTATTAGTTGTAGAATCTTTCATATTTTTTTGGTTCATTTTTTTCTATTCCTTTTGTTGTTTTCCTGCGACTCTGTGATATTTGGGTAAGTTTTGGCTTTTTGTTAATTTATTTCTTGTCATTCTATTGATGTTGTGGTTGGTTTTTAAGTGATTTCTTGATATTGATTTCAAATTAGAATGTGCTTTTTCTTGCGATTGTCTTGTTCTTGTGTTTGGTGCGGAGCTGTTTTGCGTGTAATATATCTACATTTCGATTGGATTCGTGCGATGAATGTTGTGTGTATTTTGTCTTTCTTTAGATAGTATTTATTTTTATCGTTGGCGATTGCTGATTGATATTTGAGGGGTGAGAAGGGGTAGGTGTTGGTGTGTATGTTTTGTGAGTTACATTGCTGATTTACTTTTGGCGTCGTGAAGAGTGTGGAGACGAAGCCGGGGCGGGGGTGGTACGTGGTTAATTGTTGTTGTTTTAGTGAATTTTTTTTTTTTTGTGATATTTTCTTAGAGTGTATGTGTAGTTGAGAGTCGTCATTATGGTGCTGAGGGGGGTGTAGATGAGGAGACAGTATGGGTGGAGGTGTAATAGGATTTTGTTAAAAAACGTGTAAGCCATGGATTTGACTTTGTGTTTTTGTACAGTGTGTTTGGGTTGCTTGGTTGAATGTGAGTGTATGTGATTTGATGAGAAATTTTTAAGATGTTGGAGATTTAGGAAGATTTGTGTATGCGTGCTGTAGTGATAATTGGGTTGTAATTTTTGTTGCTGTTTATGGAGTCTGTAAAGTTGATAGGAGTTTTTAAGATTTAGTGAGAGTTTAGGGTTTCTTTATTGGCGTGTGTTTAAGTGATATTTGATGTGTTGTTGATTTTTTTCTGCTTCTTGTAATTATAATTTAAATTTGGAGATTTAGGATTTTTTTTGCTGCTATTTATGAATGGGTTGTATTTTTTTGCTTTTATGGAGCTGTGATTAGTTGTAGGATTTTTAAATTTAGAGATTTAGGGTTTCTTTATTGCTGTTTATGAATAGGTTGTGATTTTTTTTTGCTTTTTAATTTAATTTGCTAGATTCCTGAGGTTAATTATTTGTATTAGTTGTAGAATCTTTCATATTTTTTTGGTTCATTTTTTTCTATTCCTTTTGTTGTTTTCCTGCGACTCTGTGATATTTGGGTAAGTTTTGGCTTTTTGTTAATTTATTTCTTGTCATTCTATTGATGTTGTGGTTGGTTTTTAAGTGATTTCTTGATATTGATTTCAAATTAGAAGAGGAAAAGATAATTGGAAAAGTTGTTAGGCAAAAAGAGGATCCGATATTAGTTATTTAGCCAATTTTAGGGTGTTGAGGTACAATATTTTGTTTATTTTTCAAGTGATGTATATAATTGTTGCAAATTTAGTTGTTTTTAATTACAATGACATGAATTTTGTTGATGTTTTGGTTAGTGTTTAAATGATTTCTTGATATTGATTTCAAATTAGAAGAGTAAAAGAGGATTGGAAAAGTTATTAGGTAAAAAGAGGACTTGATAGTAGTTATTTAGCCTATTTTAGAATGTTGGGGTACAATGCAATTTTTGATAAGAAGGACGCTATTCATATCTACTAATGGCCCATTTAGTAAATTGGCTTTTCATGGCAAATAAACAAATTACAAAAAAAAAAAATAATAATAATAGTTGCAATTTAGTCCACCTTTATAAATATTTGTAAGTGCATCGATGTTCTATTTTATTCGCTTTTTTTCTTCCTTTTTTATTTTATTTTCTTTCTTTTTTCTATTATTTTGTTGCCTTCTGTTTGTATTTTCCTTGCTCAATTTTCCTTTCTATTTTTTTTTATTTCTTAGGTAATGTATGTAATTATTGCTAATTTAGTTGTTTTCTTTGCTCACTTTCTGTAATTGTTTTGGTCAATGTTTCAGTGATTTTTTTGATGCTGATTTGAAATTTGGAGAGGAAAAGGGATTGGAAAAGTTTTTAGGAAAAAAAAAAAAAGGACCTGGTAATAGTTATTGTTAGGAAGTGAAATGTTCCTCTGTTTTGATTTTTTATTTAATTTTTTATGTACTAAAATGTAATCACTCAAGATGTCAATTTTTTTTTTTTATTACATGTGGTCAGTTCTTATACATAGCTATAAATGTATTTACTGTAAATAAATAAATAAATAAATAAATATATTAATATATAGTATAGGATGTTGACGATACGAAAATAAATAAATATATATATATATATATATAGGATGTTGAGATAGAAACTAATAGTCCATTTAGAAAATTGGCCAAATGCAGATTCAGAATGTTGGGACATAATGGAATTCTTGATAAAAAAAATGCTGTCACGACCTAAAATTATGGGCTGAACCGGTATTAGAGCCTAGATAAGTTTAGGGTTCTTGAGGGCCGTAGTAAGCCTAAACTATAAAGTCCATACTCGACAAACGGTTTGTAGGAACAATAAGCCTATATTCTTAGTTTAACTTCAACATCTCAAATTAATTTATAGTTCGGCCTTATTTATAGTAAACTTGATAGTTGGTTTTATTATATTAAACTAACAATTAAAATTTAATATAACAAAATCAACAATATATAATATAATAAACGTGTAAAATTCATTTAATGTTCTAATCAAATCAAAAGATTCACAAAATAATTGAAACCATTATTTTGATTTATTAAATGTTTGTAAATAATTGATTTCAACAATTTAAAACTATTACGTTTTTTCCAATTCAATGCCCAAGAATTGATACCAATCCAAGCTAAACCAAAATTTAAAATGCCACTAACTATTTCCTAAAATATCATCATCAATTAAATAACTATTTAACAATATCAGAACAGCATCCTACAATGTATAAAAAGGGAAGTTAACAATTCCGTACACAGAAGCAAAAAACATATAATCATAAGATAAAACAGGTGAGTCATGATAAGACTTGCATGGATGCAAGTAAATTAATATTTTGATAAAACCCACAAAATTAAAATTTTAAAAAGTAGCATTATTAAGTAGCATAGAGAGTGAAAGCTTAACCAATTCCCATGCAAGGAAAATTTGACAACCTAGTACTAATTACAACGTTTCAAAAGCTTGGCGGTGCCCTACAATATAGGTTAATTAAGCTTATTTAATTGAAATTATAAGAAATATAATTAAAAACAATTCTATTAATTTGTAAATAGAGAGAGTAAGATTATATTTTCACAAATAGAAGACATGATTGGAAACTCTAAATTAACAAAAGCTTGATAATAATTTTTGATAGTCAAAAGCAAAAATTCTTAATTAGAATGTTATTAAAGAACAAATTTCTAATTAGAATGGAATTAAATTATAACATTGATATAATAAAAATAATAAATTAATATCGTAATAAAATTAAAAGTATTAATTAGAATATGATTAAATTACCTTTATTGCCAATAAAATATTAATAAAATTAAAAGTTTTCTAATAACAATAAGACTAAATTATTCTTAATAATATTTTTAATCAATTAGAGTATATAGGGGCTTTTTAGGAACCCAATGTTCTCCTTTGTACTTTTATATATATAGTTTTTTTTTATGACGTGTGTTGCACGTCGACTATGAAATTATATTCTCATTTTTTATACTTGTTCAATTTTTTATTTATATAATATTAAAATATAAATTCTTATTTAGATTGAGTGGTTAAAATATATTACACTTTATAAATACAGTAAATATTTTTTTGATTATATGTCAAGGTAATGAATCATACAATTTTTATTATACATTAGTTGTTTTCATTTTTTTTTAAAGAAAAATCAAATTGATTTATAAAAATAATCATACAGCTTCTATTATGAGCTTTATAATTAATTTACATTTTGTGTTAATAACTTTCACTATAATCTCTTGTAGTAAATAAATATATTTTAACAATAGAATAAGAAACCAATCTAATAAATCAAATTAAATATTAAATATTTATAAATTAATAATAAATTTTATTTTTTTTTTTATTTTTAAAATTAAAATCATGAAAATCATTTAAAAATTATTAATTAAAATTATAATAAAATTATATTCTTTAATAGAAATAGGGTTTTTGAATTAGAATTATATAAGATATCAATATAACTAATCAAATTCGAGATGTTTGAAAATAATAATTTTTTATTTTATTTTTTAGCCAACCAAATTAGAGTGTAATTTTTAATTAAAGAAATTTAACCATACATTTTTCAAATCAAAATTTAAATCATCTAGATATATTTATTTAAAATAAATTCAAAAAAAAATGTAAAAGTTTTGAAATGCCTCATATTTACACATAGTATTTAAAATAATAATATTGAAGCTAAATTATGAATTATTATAATAATAAATCATTAAAAATTATTCAATTACTATTAATAATTTACATAATGATATCATGAGATAAAATATAATTAGATATAATAAGATACTAATAGCAAATATTTAAAATTTTAAATACTTAATTATCTATATATATTTCTATTAAAAAAAAAGTCAAAACAACATCCAATAAAAGTATAGAAATGTTATATATATATTTAGGTTAAAATTTTTTAATTGGCTAAGACTAAAGTTATTTTTAGATATCTTAAATTTTAGAAGAACAATATCGGCAGTCACATTATTCCTCCTCATTCTCACTTTTATATATAATATTAGTCTTTTTATAACATGCGTTGCACATTGACTATATTCGTTATTCATACTCGTTAAATTCTTTATGTCATTGTTCACTTTTACTTATTATTTATACTAATTTTTATTTTTTATATTAAATATTAATTATAATTATTAAATAAATTATAATTTTTATTTATATTATTATTTAAATTTTTATTATATGCGCCATTGTATCTAAAATTCATTATAACTTGTATATGTTTAGTTCTATTAATATCACCTGATAATTACGTTTTTTATATATATATAATTATATTTATATATATATTATTTATATATATAAATAAATATTATATATATGTTAATTAATATTTTTACACTGTTTGCTCATCCGTATACACATATGTCTAAAATTTATTAAAATAAATTTTTTAAAAATAAAAGTTTATAATTTTAAAAGGCTTAATCTATATATATTTCTATTTGAAAATTTATTTTTTTTAAAAAATATATCCAATCAAAATTATATAAATATAAAAAAAAATAATATTATAAAAAGAATTTAAAAAAATAATATTATAAAAGAATTTAATTTTTTTTTATTCTCTCCTAAATAGAATGTTTTAAATTATAATAAAAATAATAATCAAATATTTAAAAATATATTGTAGTTTTTTTTTATGACATACATTGCACATTTCTGTTGCATGTATTTGTTGCTCGTTTAATACTCGTAGTTTATACTTATTTATTTTCATATACAATATTAATTATTTATTATAATTTCTCTCTTATATTGTGTTTATCTTTTTAATATTAGAACTTCATCTTTTTTATTGTGGATGCATAAATAGTTAAAAATAAGTTAAATATTTTAATCAAATTAAATCTACCTGAGTTTATGTAATTTATATTTAAAATCATTGATTTTAATAATTTGTATACCTTTTAAGTTCAAAAATTATTTATAAAGTTTATCAATTTTTAAAAAATTAATTCAAATATAATCAATTTAATAAATAAAAAATTTGAATTCTAGTGAACTTTTGCTTATATCAAATATAAAAAATATGTGAATTTATATATAAATTATATAGAATTCATTTAGACCAAATAAGATTCAAATAAAATCGTTGATATTTCATAAAACTTAAGAATAATTACAAGAACTCTAATTTTTTACATGTTTGACCAAAACAAGAACTCTAATTTTTTACATGTTTGACCAAATAAGAAAATCATTATATAGGATATTGTAAAGAAGATTTGATTCACAATCTTTAATCAACTGGTTTTATTTAATAAAATGAGAAATAACTTTTGAAATTAATTTTAGATAACTGGGCATATACGATCGCCTTATTTTGAAACCACACTGAACTAAATCAAAATTAAAGTAAATTTTGAAAATGAAAAAAAGTCTCAAATTAAATATAGTTTAAAATCTAATTAGTTCAATCGATTTTACGTGTACTTTTAGGTTGGCTAATTTAAGTGTTTTACTAAAAACAAAGACCAAAAAAAAAAAAAAGTTTATCTATGCAAAGTAAAAACCGACCTAAATCAGTTTTACCCGATGTTTTAATATCCTTAAAATTAGAAAATACCCCTAAAATTGCAAAGCGATATAAGTTCTCTTTTTTTAGAAAATCTTACACCATTAATTAATATAATATTCAATTAATTAATCTAATAATAATTTTTTTTGTACATATTGAATAACTCCAACTAAGTGTAAAATAGGCAAAATATATTGTATAATTCCTTTTTACTTACTATTTATCATTTTCTCTCTCTCTCTTCTTCGTTATCTGATATAGATAAACAATTTAAACGTGTGTATATATATTTTACATAAATATATTCAAGAGAAAATTAAAAGAAATATCAAATTTTACATAAACTATTATATCAATTAAATATTTAATTAAATATTTATTATTCTTATTATTATAAAAGATTTGTTTACCTTTATTACTATAATCTTATTATTTCTAAGAGATTATAAAAGAAAAATATCTCATATTCTTTTCTATAATAAAAAAAAATATTAGGTACCTATTTTTCATCTTTGATAATCATCTATAAGAAAAAAGTGAAGGGAAAATTAATTAAATATTCTCAAATACACTACTTTATCATGAAATTTTTTTTCCATAGAAAGAACTAAAAAAAAAATTTAAATATCAGAATATTTATATCTAATATAATTTCAAAAGTTTATATTTAAAATTTATTCTATTTGAAAATTCTATTTTTAAATATATCAATTTCCAGAATCATACAAACCCATAAAAGAAAAAAAAATAAAAAAATAATATTTATAAAAAATATTTTTAAAATTATGTGATCCATTAAATATTTATTATTCTTATTATTATGTGAGATATTTTTACCTTTATTGCCATAATCCGATTATTTCTAACAGTATTACAAAAGAAAATATCACATATTCTTTCTATAATAAAAAATATTAGGTAATTATTTTGATAATCGTCTATAAAAAAAAAGAAAGTGAATGAAAAAATTAATTAAACATTCTCATATACACCACTTTATCATGAAATTATTTTATTTTTTCCATAGAAAGAACTAAAAGGAAATTGAATATCAAAATATTTATATGTAATATAATTTCAAAATTTTATATTTAAAATTTAAAAATTTATCTATTATCTAAAAAATATTATCAAATCAAAATCATACAAACATAAGAAAAAATCATTCATAGAAAAAATTATTTTTTCTATTTTATTCCCCTCCTAAATAAAAAATTTAAATTATAATCAAAATAAATAAAATAAATAATAAATTTAAAAAAAATAAAATATAAAAATTTCAAATGCCTTCATTATTCATATATACTATTAAAAAATAAATTTAAAAAAAGATAAAAACTTAAAAAAATTTAAATGCTTCTTTAATTATCTATATTTATTTTATTAAAATAATTTTTACGAAATTATATCCAAATCAAACTAATAAACTTATTATATATATATATATATAATATATATATATATACTATATATATTACATAAAAACTATATAAATCAATTTAATATTATATTAATACTTATTTATTGTATAAAATTTTCACCTTTATTGGCCATAATATAAAATTTTCACCTTTATTGCCATAATTGTGATTATTTCTAAGAGTATTATAAAAGAAAAAATATCACATATTATTTTCTATAATTAAAAAAAAAGAAAAACTATTAGATTACTATTTTATTTTAGATAATCATCTGAAGAAAAAAATTAATTAAATATTTTCATGTATACTACTTTGTCATGAAATTATATTATTTTTTACATAGAAAGAACTAAAAAAAATAAATATCAAAATATTTATAAGTAATATGATTTCAAAAATTTATATTAATAATTTTTTTTCTATTTGAAAATTTAATTTTAAAAAATATATCCGATCAAATCATTCAAACATAAAGAAAAAAAATATTAATAAGAAAAATACATTTTTCTATTATTATCTCCCTCCTAAATAAAATACTTTAAATTATAATCAAAATGAAATCAAATAAATTATAAATTTGAAAAATAAAATATAACAATTTTCAAATTCTCATTATAATTTATATTTATTAAAAAATAAATTATATTCAATGAATTAATAAACTGTAATTTTTTAGTTAGCCATCATTAAAGGTATTTTAGAACATTTTAAATTTCATTAAGAGTGATATAAGTGATTCCATTATTTCCCCCCTCATTCCCACTTTTATATAGTATAGATTATAGATATAGACTACTCTTTTTATGACATGCGTTGCACTTTGACTATATTCTTTATTCGTTTTCATTCAGTTTTTTATATTATTGTTCACTTTTACTTATTATTTATACTCATTTTTATTTTAAATATTAAATATTTATTTTTATTTTATACTATTTGATTTTTTATAATGTTAAATCAATTTCAATTGAGATTACTGTGAATATAACGTTAATTAATAAAACAGTAGTGTGTATATACACACTTGTCAAAATTCATTTATATTGGCATGTATCTAAAATTTATTTATTTATATCATCATTTATTTAAAATTTATTATAACTGTATATGTACAATTTTATATACATAACTTTCAATATATATAGATATATAGATATAGCAATAAAATATTATATATAAAATTGAAATTTTCAATTGTTGATTTACTTAAAAATAAATTTTAAAAAGTACAAAATTTAAAATTTTAAAAGACTTAATTATACATATTCTATTTAAAAAGTTATTTTTAAAAATATATATCCAATCAAATTATATAAAATATTTAAATTATAATAAAAATAGACTCAAAATATAAAATATTTAACATATATAATAAAAATAGAATCAATATTTTAAAATAAATATAAAAAATTTTAAATGCTCATTATATAGATTTATTAAAAAAATAAAATTTAAAATTTTGAAATACTTAATGGGTCTTATATATTTTTATTTATAAAAAAATAATTTTTAATTTAACATTATATACAAAAACTAATAAAATCTAAATTTTCTAATTGTTAAGGACATAATTTTCGCATATTCAAATTCCATTAAAAACACTTCTGGGATATCTCAATATTCCCCACATTTATTATATAGATAATGAGATAATTATAAGATAGAAGCGCACATTTTTTGCGCATTTTTTTTATTTATCATAATTCCAGAATTTATTGAACCCTTGCTTCAAATTCCCCAATTCAAAGGTAAAAGCAAACTTAGGAAACCATGAGAGCCGAGGCATTTGATAAATACCACGGCAATAGCATATAACACGGTCTTCCTAATGCAAAACGCATTTCGGACAGTCATAAAGTACTTGTACGAGGTTAAAAAAAGAACACATTTGACCTGCCCAAAAAAAAGGAAAAAGGACAGCTCCTTCATTCCCCCTATACATTTGAGAACGTGCAAAACCCCAAACTATTATGCAAACCCTAAAGAGTATCTATTGACTGAAAAAAGACATTTTCTAAGGATCTTAGCGTCTACAATTAACCAAAGCATTGCCCTTTATGAGCTGTCATCTCTGCGCTAACTTTCTCCCCTAATCTTCTACCACTAGAATACGATGTTGAGAGTTCTTGGAGGAGCTTTAGCTTACCTAATGAATCTCCCTTGCAAAGTAAGGGTCAGCCATAATCTAATCTTTTGGCTACCTTTGATGATATGTTAGCGAACCAGATAGAAACGCGACCGGAATCCATGTTAGTTCATGGCAAGCGAAAAAGAGCTCGCTCTTAACATATGTCCAGACCAGAGATAGGTTTTAGCCGGCAAACTCCCACTGCAAATATAGGCCTATCCAGTATGCAGGTATAGATGCTAAGCTTGCGGGAACGAATGATACTATCCATCATTTGTTCTCCAATGCAGCAGCTGATAGTTGCACCACCCCACTTTCACAGTTTGCGCAAAAAGGCAGAACGAGAGACATTAAATTCTCCTCCTCGTTAATCCCTGTTATGCCATTGTTATCATATTTCACGGTACAACTTAGTTTAGACACACAAGTAGCAAGGAGGTGCATTTTTAACCTTGCCACTATTTGAAAATGTTTTAACAGAATAGGAGGAACAATGGACAACCAATCTATGCTAATAAGAATAACAGCGATACATAAACATTAATAATTCTTGAGAACTATAATGTGTAAACATTAGAAACATCTGGTAATGATTTATTAACTACAATTTGTTGTTACCCATTCATTTACAAGAAAGTTGTGAACAGCTCATTATGTGTCAACTTTTTATACTATCAGAGCATAGAATGAGAAGTCCTAATACGCGGAACTTAGCATCCAAAGAATACATCAAAGCACTACAAATATCCAAACTTCAGATAAAAACTGCCTTCAGTATTCATTTAACTTTCAGATGATGCAGATATTCTTTGACCTTGCAAATGGCCATGTGTTTTCATTCATTTGATTAGATCAATGGAATCTAGACAAGGGGTTCATGAATCTGGATTAAAAAACAATCACTTGAGTGTGAGATTTTTGGAATACTTGTGAGTTCTAAATTACATTCCGAGTCTAACATAATTATAGATTCAGATAATTAACCTAAAATCATGTTCCAAACCACAACCCCCCAACCCTGGGGGCCAATCGTGAAGCCCATCAGACCGACAAATTCCAATTTTCCGTGACTTCCTCTGCACTTGTTGCAACAAATAAATCATAAAAAAATTGCGAGAAAAGGAAAGCCGAAAAAAAAAGAAAGAAAGAGGAAGGAGGAAGGAAATAGAAGAGAAAAATATGAAAGCGGAGGAAGTGAGAAGAGCGGGATAATGAGGGAAGAAAAAAAAACAAAAAAGAAACAGGGAAAGACGGAAGAAGAAAAAAGACGAAGACAAAAAAGGGTAAGGAGAGGGAAAGGAAAAAGGAGGGAGAAGGAATAAGAAAAGAAAAATAAGAAAGGAAAAAAAAAGGGAGGACAGAAAAAAGAAAAATAAGAAAAAGGAGGAGTGGAAAAAAGAAGATAGAGAGATAAAATTTAAAATTTTGAAATACTTAATTGTCTATATATTTTTATTTTAAAAAATAATTTTAATAAATTATATACAAAACTAATAAAATCTAATTTTCTAATTGGTTAAGACATAATTTTCGCATATTCAAATTCCATTAAAAACACTCTGGGATATCTCAATATTCCCCACATTTATATATAGTATGAGATAGATATAAATAGATAGGCAAATTTTTTTTGCGCATTTTTTATTTATCATAATTCCAGAATTATTGAACCCTTGTTCAAATTCCCCCAATTCAAAGGTAAAAAGCAACTTAGAAAACCATGAGAGCGAAGGCAATTTGATAAATACCACGGCAATAGCAATAACACGTCTTCCTAATTGCAAAACGCATTTCGACAGTCATAAAGTACTTGTAACAGAGGTAAAAAGAAAAGAACACATTGACCTGCCAAAAAAAAGGAAAAGACAGCTCCTTCATTCCCCTATACATTTGAGAAACGCAAAACCCCAAACTATTATGCAACCCTAAAGAGTATCTCATTGACTAAAAAAGACATTTCTAGGATCTTAGCTGTCTACAATTAACAAAGCATGCACTTTATGAGCTGTCATCTCTGGCTAACTTTCTCCCCTAATCTTCTACCACTAGAATACGATGTTGAGAGTTCTTGAGGAGCTTTAGCTACCTAATGAATCTCCCTTGCAAAGTAAGGTCAGCCATAATCTAATCTTTTGGCTACCTGATGATATGTTAGCGAACAGCTAGAACCGACCGGAATCCATGTTAGTCATGGCAAGCGAAAAAGGGCTCGCTCTTAACATATGCAGACCAGAGATAGTTTTAGCCGGCAACTCACTGCAAACTATTAGGCCTACCAGTTGCAGGTATAGATGTAGCTTGGGGGAACGAATGATGCACTATCATATTGTTCTCCAATGCAGCAGCTGATGTTGCACCACCCCCCTTCACAGTTTGCTCCAAAAGGCGAACGAGAGACATAAATACCTCCATCCTCGTTACATCCCTGTTTGCCTGTTATCATATTTCAGGTACAACTTAGTTTAGACAACACAAGGTAGCAAGGAGGTGCATTTTTAACTGCACTATTTGAAATGTTTACAGAATAGGAGGAACAGACAACCAATCGATGCAATAAGAATAACAGCGATACATAAACATTAATAATTTTGAATATAATGTGTAAGACATAGAAAATCTGGTAATGATTTATTAACTACATTTGTTTGTTACCCATCATTTACAAGAAAGTGTGACAGCTCATTATGTGTCACTTTTTATACTATCAGAGCATAGAATTAGAAAGTCCTAATACGCGGAACTAGCATCCAAAAGATACATCAAAGCACTACAAATATCCAACTTCAGATAAAAACTGCCTTCAGTATTCATTTAACTTTCAGATGATGCAGATATCGTTGACCTTGCAAATGCATGTGTTTTCATTCATTGATTAGATCAATGAATCTAGACAAGGTTCATGAATCTGGATAAAAACAATACTTGAGTGTGGATTTGGAATACTTGTGAGTTCTAAATTACATTCACGAGTCTAATTAATTATAGATTCAGATAATTTAACTAAAATCATGTCCAAACCACAACCCCCCCAACCCCTGGGGGCCCAATCTGAAAACCCATCAGACCGACAAATCAATTTTCTTGACTTCCTTGCACTAGCTTGCAACAAATAAATCATAAAATTGGAAAAGAAAAATCATAAGCACATGAAAAATTCAATCTAACAAGGAGATATCACAAAACCACAACAAAAAATGGATTTAAAGTGGCTGATAGCATAATGCAACGGAGCAAATTGTGAAGACAACAGTTACTGTCAATGGAGCTACCTTAGGCTTTTATTTAATACATTGATCAAAAAGTGAAGAAAAAAATGTACAAACTTCAGATAGAATGGTGGATAAATTGTAAGTAGTCATGAATGATGTCAACAAGCAGGTTAGCACATTAGAAATTTTCAAGCCATTGAGGTGTTGAACTTTCATCAAAGAAAGGTCCACCAAGAAGAAAAGCATGTCTATTATTAATATATTATAAAGTTCTATGCTTGGCTTATGCTCAAGACATCATATTCTTTATAATACTATCTAATTATTAATGCAGAATATTGTAAAATCCTTACTACCTATTCATTAAAAAGTATAAAGAAAGAAATATGAAAGGTCAAATTAATCCTTCCACCAAATAGTCAATTCCATTATTTGGTCAAGCAACAAGTCTCTGGATCCATAAATTATTCTTTGACTTCAGCATAAAAGAAAATCCATACAAGGTTTAATAATTATCCAGTTGTCTTGAGAATTAATAAATCTTATAAGCTACATTAACATTGAAACGAAAAGTGTCTAGTTAACTAGATCGAGGTGATTCTTGTACCTAATGAGTATTCACTAGTCAATTTTGGTAATTAACTATAAGCTTCAGAAACTTCATTCTATAACTACCAAGACCCACAGAAGTCACTCCATGAACAATTTCAGCACTGTTCACGAAGACCTTAACCACCTCAGGTTTGTATCATTCTTAAACATACATCGTGTATCAAGAGATAGTATCAATGGCAAAATTATTTATTTCTTAAAACTGCAATACAAGCTGCAGCTGCTGGTAAGAGTAGTCCAAGAAGGTGACCAACACCCCATCAGCCATGAAGATTATTTAGGAATAGCAGTCTATTATAGCTTTAAACATTTCAGTCTAGAAAATTACCTCTACTGCAAAAAGTGCCCAAATCTTATCATTCCGAGCTTCCATCACCCCCTTCAAGATTGTTAACCCCAATCCCCTGATTAAATCAGCTATTTCAAGAAAGAAACCCCTTTCTTCACAGAGCATCTGTCAAATGGAAATATGATCAAATACGAAATTAAGACTAAAAGCTCCAACTATACTATCGATCTCACTACCTCCACAAGCATCTGTCGAGGTGGGTTCAGATCCTCAACAATGATAGGACAGACCATTGATTGAGACCCAACTTCAAATGCCCATGTTGCCCCTCCTTCAAAATTGTCCTTCAAAAGGAGACCACCTTCCTTGTTGAGTATCTGCACATTCAGAAAATAATAGAATCAAGCAACTATAGTATCAAGCATGAAATGGTCTAAACACCAACCAAGACTAGAAAATACTATAATTAGCTAACTTTAATGAAGAATTCTAGATTCATTTCAGCCTTGGCTGTATTTAACATTATCAGATATGCCAAACATGTTGATACCAAAGAACATGAAGATAAAGATAGGATAAAAACAAAAAATGGTATCCATACCTTAGACTCCCCTGTCTGTTTTAGCTTGTCTGCATGTTTTGTCACACTTTGCAAGAAAAGCATATGTTTGATGGTCCGTTCAAGTAAAGCATCTATACTACACTGTTACAGCAAATAATGAATGAAACAACATTGTGAGCATCAATGGAGCACCATATGAGAGAGGGAAAAAAAAGAATGATGCATGGCTAAATAATCAAAGAAATATCCTACTTTTGCTCCATTTGGTACAATTTCTCTCAACTCTTTCACCCTATCTTGGATCATCTGACGATCTTTTGGCCTGGGTCTGGGATTCTCTCCAGGTTTAAGTCTTTTGCGATTTGGTTTGTTCATTTCATCATTTTTCTTGGAATATGCAGTTGAAACACTACTATCACGCCTCATATTATGTCCAATCCATGAACTCAATTGGGATCTGTAAATGGAAGTGATTTGAGAACAAGTTCCCATTTCATCCTTGCTACATCCAGACCTGATAGAGCCAGATGCCACGGTTCCGGATTTTTCCAAAGACTTGGGAAGGTCAAAAGACTCCTTTTTAACCTGATCAGACAGGTGAACCAGGCTATGCGAGGGAGAACCACCAGGAACAGAAGAGCTACTGACCTTCGTCAACGTTGTCTTACAAGAGACAATATCATTTGGGCTCTGCTTGGAAGCAGAGTGAGCCCTGGATACCACAGCATCTAAAAGATGATCAGTACCCACACCAGAGAAAATACTGCTGTCGGATGTACATTGAAAAACTGAAAAAACATCAGAGCTGGCTTCATGCACATTGATAAAGGTTGAAGCATCTTTTCCCATATGCGAATTGGCGGATGACACATCTGCAAGCAAACTATCCCACTTGCTATTGAGTAATTGCTTTTTAAAATCCACACCCAGAATATCATACAAATCATCCGCAGATGGAGGTTGAGCGCATGAATCCTCAAACTCAACATTTGCAATAACTAAATCCTGACTTCCAGTTGCACGTTTAAGGCAATCAGGAATGGAACCAGGGATCTTTCCATCCAAAGAAATGTGTATATCCGGCTGAGATGGTTGGATGTTAAGTGCTTGAATCAAATCATCATCCGTTTTTCCTTCCTTCGCAATTGATTGACTTTTAGCATGCTTCCCATCTCTGGAATGGTAACTGTGACAAAACCCTTCAGAAAGCATGACACTATTACCTAATTGATGTACCAGAGTGGATAAAGGAACATCTTCACTCCTTGATGAATCAATACTTTGAAGCCCAACTCCAGCCACCTGGGTGGAAGCATCAGCAACATCAATTGATTTTTGTGGACTCACAAGAGGTGATGGCATTGTAAGCCTCGTCTGACTACTTGACCCTTTATGTAACTCTCTCCCGTATGTCAAAGCACCTCCATGAGAATTGACAATTAGGCTTCCATGTGTTCTCATTTGAGGTGTGATAAAGCTATCCAATCCATTTCTATTGTCAATAAGATGATTTTGTGGACTAACATCTGAAAGAACATGCTGTTCCAATAATGTCAGAATGCTATTATTGGCATCGAATTGACCAATAACAGATTGGTGTCCAAACGCAGGCCTTGAATCAAATGAAGCAGCATGCTGGTTCAACCATGCATCTGGATTTGATCGGATCACCTCAACTCCAACAGTTCCATTCTCTTGTTGGCCTCCAAATGAATCATCCTGTCTAATAGCCTTCATTTTTGTTTCACAAGAGTTAGGAGAATAGTCGGTCAGATTTGGGGCATGAATTTTTGAAGCAGTAGATTGTCGATTATCCTGAATCTGTCCAATTTGAGAATAAGAAGGTTGAGCAATTCTGGAAGATCGGAACGAGATACTCTGCTGGTTGTAGCTGTTGGAAAATAAACTGGAATTTGGCACTTTATTTCCAGACAAATGAGAAAAAGAATCAGGCACTTTAAAAGTAACCGGCACCCCAATTCTTTCTGTACATTCTTTAGCTGCAATGTTGTCAGACAGAAGAGCCCCAGGGACACATCCTAGTTGCAGGATTGAACTCTTCACATTATTCACAAATCCCATATTCTCCACCATCTGAATCAGCAACAAGTATAATATATAAATATATGGAACCTGCGATCTACGTATTGCCCCAACTTGAAGAACAAATTAAGCAAGAAATAGAATGTTGAAAATCAAGGCATGCTATTCTTTTATTGTTTACACAGAATAATCTAGAAAAATCTCTGTTCCTGAAGAACTTCCACAGGAGCTAACATTGATTGCTGTGATACAAAGGCTTTCAGACCTTTATTGGGCTAATAAAAAATACTGAAACCAAAAACTTAAAAAAAGAAAAAAGAAAAAAGAAAAAAGAAAAAAGAAAACAAAAAACACTCAGAAATCAGGCTAACCAGTCCAATGGTTTCGGTTCATATATTTAAAAATCAGCAGTGTCAGTAACCAATCTGTGTGTGTGTGTGTTTTAGACTTAAAGGATAAATGAATTATCTACAGTCCGCATTGGTATTGGTTAACCAGTCTAATGGTTTATCTACATCTTCATAGAAATACCTTGTTCACTTGTGGTTTGGTAATTAAGAGATAATAGTTTTTATTTTATTAGCATAAATTAAGTGAATTTTGATTGCATTTTCATATTATTGGCTAATGAAAGTTGTGCTTACTTAATATTGACAAATGAATCAAAAGTATCATATTTATCACTTAAACAAATTAAAAAATTTGAACTCTCATTTTCAATGGTTAAAAATCGAAAAAACATTTAAACAGTCCAATTTTACCTTTTATAGCAACAGTTTAATCAATCGACATGGTATTTTAGAGTGGATGAAATTATTTAACTTAGACTAGGTCCTAAAAGACCAATGATCCACGTAAAATCCTAATAACAATAGAAATATGCTACTTTTAGTTTATGCAGGAAAAAAAAAAATCATTCCTGCATTTTCTTCAACAAATTGAATTTTGAATAACCAGATGAATTCACTGGGTCAAACATAGCCCCAGAAGAAATGCTTTTAACGGACAATGCCAATGCAACAAGATGAGTATAATCACCCACAAAGAAAAACAATAAAATCCTGAAAATTGAAATGTGTTACAGTTCACTCTAATTATTTCCTATTTCAAATTCGAATTCATAGATAAGTAATTGATATAAAAGCACATCTTACAAAAGGATTTTGAAAATTAGCATAAGAAAATGAATAAAAAAATTCCAAATATGAGAATAACATAGAGTTCAAAAAAACATAATATAATTGATTGAGAGAAGCACTTACAGTCAAGGAAGAGCCAAGCTGAACCACACCATGAGGGGAAACGGGAATAACTGCAATTGTCTGCAAACCAAATACATAGTATTTTCAAGAAACAGAAAGTTAACTATCACAGAAGAATGCAGAGCTAGGGATAGCTAGCAAACCTGCATGCCAGCTGAAAATTGCTGATGTATCTCAGTAAAAACCTAAAAGCATCCACAAACTTAAAAGTTATATCATGTTAAACAACAAAGAATAGAATAAACCCACATCATGAGTAATTTCATTAAGGTTTCTGCGCATTTAAAACATCGACCATATTATTTGGAACAAAGGAAATTGGTTATGGTATCTTATTATTTAGAATTCTCCCCGCAGAGAAAAGTCATCTACCATACCTCTGGTGGATGAACATCTCCATTGTAATTGTTTGCAAGGATCCATTCATGATTTCCTGTAAATGCAGCTCGCCCTACTATTCTGGAAAATAACAAAATCAAGTAATTCAAAAATTTGAGTAGAACAAGGAAAACCATTTAAAGTTTAAAATTTATAATTAATCATAGAAGGAATCATACCCTTGACCTACAACATTAACTTGATTATTCATCATCATTTTGTTAATAAGCAGATGCACTGCCTCTCCAGTTTGAACATTGGGCTGTGAGAAGTGAATATCAGAAGCCTGGTGCCCTTCACATTCTCCAAAGGGCAACTCAGGATTTTCAATGCCAGAAGTTCGTGGGGGAAGAGAACTTAACTTTGATTCAAAGTGACATTCTTCCCAAATTAACAACCTGAGATTTACGACCAAATTGTAAGACAGACTACTTCAAATACCTCATTTATTTAAAAAAAAAAAAAAGAAAAAAAAACTAAAAAATAATATTTGAATCCCATTGTTCTTTTCCTTTTCTTTTTTAAATTTTACCACATCATTTCACAAACAAACGGACGAAAGAAAAATACAAGTTATCAGCAGAATCATCAATTGCAATGAATTTTTCTGATTTTTAAAAGGAAAAAACCGAATCTAACAAACTATGACAAAGTCTGTAACAACAATCGGTTGAATACAGAAAGGGTTAGTCAAACTAATACAAATCAACTTTTACTAAGATTCTTAAAGACAAAACAGAATAAACCAAAACACAAGGTTCCAAAATAAGTATCAGATTACGAATCATCTATTATACAGCAGTTGCCAATCGGACTTTAACACATCAATCAATACCGAGACAAATGGGAAAAAGGACAAAGAAATACATATAACTAAAGTAATGTTTTCCTTATGGAAATTTTTGAAAAACAAAATAAAAATAAATAAAAAAACACCACCCTAGATCCACTCTGTTTGGTCGCCGAGATAATATAGGTAAACAAAAAATTTTAAATTTCTCACTACGGAGGGGAAAAATCCAATACATCAAAACAAAGGAAGAATTATTATTACATCATATTCCTAATTATTACTTTTCTACGATCTTTTTCCTCCATTTTCTTGTCAATCAAACATCCACGTGCCAGGAATCCAAAATATGCATTCAGGTATGAAATTAATACTAACAAAAGCCTAACATAACAAGACTCAGAATCTCACTTAATTTTCTACCACTGTCCTAGAAACCAAATAGGGGACCGAAACCAGAGAAAGCTACAACTTACTTAGGATTCTGGTAGCCGATCTTCCAAAACACTGCATAGCACCACTGGTTGGCACCACAGAGTGTCCTTAAAACTTCTCTCAACAAAAAACCCATAACTACAACTCTTATGCTCTCACTTAACTGAGCCTTCAAAACCAATTAAATAAGTACCAGAACAAAGAACAAGAACAACAACCGGAAGTAATCACTTGAAAAGTGACCTAGAAAAGGTCAGCCAGTTGCAGTGGTGTAAACAGCAAACAAGCAAACAAATAACTCTTATCTTCCTCTGACAGCAACGAAGGCAGGCTAACTTCCGCGACACGATCCTCTTCCCGCCTGCTTCGTCCTCAGTCCACCGCACCTCTTCCTCTTCGGATCCAAGTTCCCAGATATCATTCTCCAGCAACCCATCCCCGACACAAACAGTTAAAAAAAAAAAAAAGGAAAAAAGATTAAATATAGAACTTTTCCGAAAGCGACGTCTTCTAAATTATACCACAAGCTTCGAGCTTAAAAGTGGCTCTGATTTGCTCCATTTGGAAGCAGACGCAGAAACTGAAAGTAAATGAAGATGAAGAAAAATTAGATAAACTTGGCGGAAAGAGACGACAAAGAGGTTTCTAACTTTCTTTCTTTTATTTTATTTGTTTGAAGGTGTCGCCTTCTTTGATCCAGTGGAGGGGTTGGTAAAGAAGCAGTATTCAGTTTCAGGTTTTCTCTCTCTATCTCTCTGATAATATTCGCTCTCTCTTTTGATGGCAACTGGTAAGTGGGTAGTGTTTGATAAAAGCGCTCCATATTAAACAGGAGGGTAAGGTTAGGAAACAGGTCTGCATTTTGAGATAAACTACGGAGAATTGCCACTAAAAGTGTAATAGACAATGGGCAGCCAATTGCAAAATTTGAACTGTACCAATTATCAAATCCGTTTAAATTTAAAAGAAAAAAAAAAAAGTCTCCTAAATTATAACAATATTAATATATGCCTCATTCAACTTTTTCTTTTTTTTTTTTTTTGAATAATAATGGAAATTTCATTAATCATCCAGCCTCAAAGCTTATTCAATACAAAAGGGTGGAATAACCAACTTCTCCACCTGTCACAGAATAAGACGCTCTAGCTAAGACATGAGCAACCTTATTAGCAGACCGACGAACAAAAGAGATGTTTACATTCACAATCTCAGAAATAAGATTCTTACAATCTAACACTAGAGAACCAAGTGCGGAATCATCCTCATATAAAGGGTCAGACAAAGCCTGCACACAAATTTGAGAGTCTGATTCAATAATCACATTGGACCAACTCCTCCTTTTAATCCAACTTAATGCTTCCCTGATGGCTAAGGCTTCAGCAATTAAAGGTTCAAAGCTTCCAATCACCCTTTTTTGTAAAGAGCCAATAAAGTCACCTTGGGGTCCACGAACCACCAAGCCAAGACCCACACTATTATTGACAAATATTGCAGCATCTACGTTACATTTCACCATACCAGTAGCAGGTTTCGACCAACACACTGCCAAATAATTTGCTGGGCCCAGGTTGCTGACCCCCTTAGCTAATAGCCAATCATGCAGCACCCTTCTTGCATAAGAGACGACTTGAATTGAGCTCCTAGACCTGCCATGCCAAACTACTTGGTTCCTTTGTTCCCAGATTGCCCATAACAGCATAAGAACAAATTGGAATTCTTCAACCTTTATCATTTTTAACATTTCATACAGCCACTTGGTTAGATTCAAAGCCTCAGAGTCAACGAAACCAACACCAAGAACCTGCCAACAACACTTGGCAAAATTGCAATCAACTAAAACATGTTTTACCGATTCGCCTCCCCCATTACAAAACACACAGATATTGGAAATCGCTACCCTTCGTATCTGCAGATTTTCTTTGCATGGAATAGCAGAGTTGCAGGCCCTCCAGACCAAGTTCTGAACTTTCGGAGGGACTCTTATTTTCCAAAATCGAGACCACATCATCTTGAGCTCTTCTTGTGCTGCATTCAAATTTAATTGCGTTTGAACTCTATAAAGGCTTTTAACAGAAAAATGCCCCTTCCTCTCAAGCTTCCAAAACCAACCATCATTCTGCTGTACCTGGGATAATGGGATTGCCAACCATCCTTCAAGAACTGGAACACTTGTTTTTTTATTGATTCCCACTTTTGAAGGCAGGCCCAAGTAATATCTCAAGTCTTGTTTCTCTTCTACCCCAAGAGCTGCACATACATTTGTTCTAACCTGTTCTGACGTATTCTTCGAAAAACAAACAGAAGACTTGGTGAAATTAATGCCTTAACCCAAGCAGTTCCTCATTCATCTCATTTGTGACACAAGAAGGGATAACATCCAACACCTGCTCCAAATTCCCAGGAGATGCATTAAACAATTGCGAAAAATGATCAAGCAGTAAAGAAGAAAGGCCAGAATTCTTTTCCCTCCATACTCCCAAAGAATCCTGCAACTTCGTAATTTGATTCTTCTTAAATCTCATAGTTGCCATAGCAAGAAAAAAACTAGAGTTTGTATCACCTTCCTTCAGCCAAAATACCTTAGCTCTTTGCTTCCATTGTATTTCTCTATCGTTTAATAAAGACTGGAAACGATGTTTAGCCTCTTCAAACTGTTGAATGTCAGCTGAAAACCTGGACCCTCGAAGCAGCCTCATTTTTGTGCGACAAGCTTGGAGTTCCTGTTTATGCAGATTGCTTAACTCCCTCCCCCAAACTAATAGGTCTTTCGAGCAGAGTTTTAATTTATCCAATAAATTTCTAGCTCCAGATTCATGCCAGATCCTTTCCACCAACTCACGACAACTGGGTTCTCTAAGCCAGGAGTTTTCAAACAGAAAAAGCCTAGGGCCTTTGTGAGGAATAATAGTGCGTACCTCTAACCAAATCGGAAGATGATCTGATGAAGTACAGTCTAAAATGTGTCCCTTCGCAAGTGGAAATAATCTACGCCAAGCAGAATTAGTTAAGATTCGATCTAGTTTTGATTCTACTAGCCTTCTAGAGTTTCTACCATGTTCCCAGGTAAAAGGGTAACCATCCATTGGAAAATCAATGAGACCAGAATCCTCTACTGCTGAACGAAATCCATGGATTAAACTAGCAGGTTGCCTTCTTCCTCCCCTCTTCTCAGCAACTGCTAAGATATCATTAAAATCCCCTAAAATAACCCAAGGCAAATCATTAATCACAGATAGTTGTCGAAGCAGCTGCCATGACTCATTATGTAAATTACGGTTAGGATTGCCATAAAAGCCAGTTAACCTCCAAACCCCAATAGAATCAACTTTTACCTCCACATCAATGCATCGCTGGGAAGTAAGAAAAGTATTGAGAATGGTAGCATTTTTCCATAACAATGCTAACCCACCACTATGGCCAGTAGCATCAACAGAAATAAAATCATCATAACCCAACAATGATTTTACTTCATTAATTTTATTTGCTGAACATAAAGTTTCAATTAAAAAAATAAAAATGGGCTTTTTTTCCCTTACAATAAACTGTAAGTGTTGTGTTGCCTGTAGGTTGCCCATCCCACGGCAATTCCAGCTAAGGCAACTCATTTCTGTCGGAGGGCTGTTTTGCCGGAGCCCACCGCTGGTATATTGTTTGGATCTTTAGAGATGCCTTCCGCAAAATCCTGGGCCGCAGTTGCTTGCAGATCCATGCCCAATCTCTTCCTTTTGACTTCACTCATGATAACATCAGTTTGATCCCCCTCTGAAGTAGGATCCATAAAAGTAGGAACTGAATCATTGACAGTAACCCTCATTGAATTAATGCCAGAAAACCAGCCTCTCTCCTTATCCTCATCAAACTGATTTTTGAATAATGGGTTAGTCATCCCTCGAAATCCACTGCTACCAAACCGTGAGGATTCTGTGTTGACCTCCGCATCATCCACTCCCCTCAGCCATCGTGATCCCATCTCCACCTTCTTCCGACGAGGCAAAGCACGAAGTTCAGGACCATATGAACGTACAGCTTTTCCTGGAGGAAATTCTATGAGCTTTGGACAGAAGCTTTCAGTGTGTCCCATAACACCACAAATGAAACAGAAGTTGGGCAACCTCTCATAAGCAAAACGCACGTAAAACCACTGACCACCTTCTTGTTTCAAACGAAATTCCTTCTTTAATGGCCGTCTAACATCCAGTTTGATCCGAACCCTTAAGACATCAACACTCATATCAACAAAATATTCAGGATCAAACTCCACAAAGTCCCCAACCTTTCCGCTGATATCTTTTGCCACACGTGCAGACCTAAATCCAGGAGGTAGGTTATGAATTTGCAGCCAAATATACAGTTTAAACAAAGGGACCTCAATAGGCAAGGAGTAGCCCTCCATGCGTTCCAAAATAATGGGGTGGTTATTGAAGGTCCAGGGACTCATTTCCATTATCCGATATAGATCAACCGGATGATAGAACTTAAAAATATACAGTCCGTGATTCAGTTCCCGAATTTGAACGCCCCGTGCAGGTCTCCATAAAGCAGCTAGGGTGTGAGACATAGCATTATAATTGATTACCCTATCTGTGATGAAACGTCCCACCAGGCAAAGAGACAAGTCTTCGTTAACAACCAAATCTTGTGGTTGATAAATCAAACCTTCATCTTCATTCTCATCTCCCACTGATAAGCTCGCCATGTCGATAGGAATACTATCATCTTTAGCCATGAAAAGGAGAAAAGCAGTAGCACAAAAGACAGAATAACTTGCACCCTGGGCAAGACAAACTCTCATAAGAGAGACGAAAACAATTTGACTTAGGGGTATATTTATTTGAATTAAAGCAAACATGGGACAAATACAGTCAGTGCTCAAGACACGAAAGTAAGCATGGTGGGTCGTGGCAGGTGGGCACAAGGCTCGAGGTCACGCGTTGTTGCTCTTCATCATCCCTTTTCCCTTTCTTTTTCTTTGTCTTTTTCTTTTTCTTTTTCTTTTTTTTTTTCAACACAAAGGAAGAAAGAAAGTCTCAAGTTGGGTCCGCAATGAGAATCGGTCGTTTCTGGGGAGCCTCATCCGGCGACAGTCTCGTTTCCCTATCATCTACTCCGACCATCATCCTTTCCGGTTGGAGCTTAAAAAGCAGAAAGCTTGAATACCATTAGCTATCTTCAGAAATCAAAATTAGAGCAGTGAAAGACTCAGATGAGTAAGGCAAAAATCAAATCCAGGCATGGAACCGCCAGCAGCAATTAGCCGGGCAGTAATCAACTTTTTCTACGTGACTTTAGTAGCGTCACTAAATTATATTTTTATTATATTAACACATCTTTCTATCGGGGTTTATTAGTTTTGCCGTCAAAATGATATTGAAATGGCTAAACTAACCCCTTATGATAAAAGGAAAAGAAGCTTTTCTTTGGAGGGAAAATGAAAAGATGTATTAGATTAAGACTCTCTTAGATTTTAAAATATTTTAAAATTGTAATGATATTCAATTTAAATTTTTTTGAGTGAAATTCAATTCAGACTCTTATAATATTTTTTTATTCGATTATGGCTCGGTTTAGCACTTATGTGTGTCAGATTTGGCTTTTTGGAGCGCTTTGACGGTGTGTGATGTATTAGAGTCGCCACCTTCATTTTTTTTTTATTTTCGGGAAAAAGATTAAGGAAAAAAATCCCATGATGGACTCCATTTCATTATGCCTTTTATGATAAAAGCACTAGCCTCGAATCATTAGGTTCGAGGACTAGGTTTTTAGCTTTTTTTCGTATGAATCAATGGTTTGGGTACTTAATT